TATTACACTGGGACATTTGAAGAGCTCTAATATCTTGATTTGGAGTCTTCACATTATGTTCTACATGTAATTTCTTTCAAAAATGCTAAATTGGGTGATGTGAATGTTCTCAGACCCAGCAGCTTGTGGTTAAGAAAGGATTCACACTGACATTTACAACCAGATTTTCTGGCTCTTTGCCTCCATCTGCCATGCAGGCCTTTGCAGTCTCATGCAAAGTCCTATCTACCTAAATGTTTCTGAGAGTTTCCAGGGAAGCTTCATATAAGCTTGGCCATTCTCCTCACAGGTGTTTGAGTTGCCTTGCTAGGTCAATACTGCCTGGGCTTAATGGGCTGTCCATCTACTTGAACTTCCAAGCTACAAAGTCCTATGGGGGCGGGGAGAGGAATGGTGGTGCTAAAATAACCTGGAGTTCCCTTTGGCATCCACAACACTGGATCTCACTCAAATTTTACTCCATGTTACATGCAGGGATGAACTCCTTCTTCACTTGCCATAGGTCTATGGCAGTAGTTCTTAAGGTGCAGTCCCAGGACCAGCAGCGTCAGCATTACCGGGGGCCTTTTAGAGCTGCAAAATCTCTAGCTTCACCCCAGATTTACCGAATCAGTAACTCTGGGTTGAAGCCCAACAATCTATGCTTTAATAAGAAATGAGTGCTTTTAATATATGATAAAGTTTGAGAACCACTTACATAGGATATTGGATACAGATCAACACTTTCATCTCTGCTTCCTCCACCCTTTTCTCCAATGCACTGGTTTGTGTGTAAAAAAGGCCACAATAAAGCCTCCTGTATAGGCCTCTGTGCAATGACATTGTAGCTTCTCCCTTTAAGAGGTGAAGTTTATTTCTCCACCCTTTGAATCTAGGCTGGCCTTACAACTTGGTTTAACTAAAAGAATATAGCAGAAGTAATGTTGTATAAATTCTAGAGTCTAGGCATCAAGAGGTCCTATAGCTTTCACTCTTACCCTCTTGAAACACTGTCCTGAGAATGGGATATCATGAACCCCAGTCCAGCCTACTGGAGGATGAGAGGCCTTGTGAAGAACTAAGGTTCTCCAGCTAACAGTTAGCTGTCACATATCTGAGCGAGTGCATTTTAGACCATCTAGATCCTGCTGTTTACCAGATAACTGCATGCACATGAATGATGCCCAGCAAGACCTTCAGTATAACTATCTAGCTAATCACAGCCTAAAACGCAGACCCACAGAATCATAAGCAATTAAATAACTCTTGTTTTAAGCCATTACATTTTTTTTTATGCAGAGATAGATAACTGATACACTCAGGTATCCAAGCAACAACAATTGCAAAAAAGCTTTTTTCCAGCATGCCTATTTGTCTTGTAAATTGAAACAATTTATACTGCTCAGACAGGACCATCTCATCCTCATCACATTATATAATTTAAGTAAGCAGCCATAAAGGAGCTGGGTTTAGTATTTCTTAAAAAGGACTTTTGGGCCTCAGTTTCCACATATATAAAATAATATTTAAGTAGATGATAATTTCAATCATTATTCTAAGTTCAGAGTTCAGTAATTCTAAGATATTCAGAGTTCTATAATTCTAAGAAATTCAAATCCAGTAAACTGATTTTTTAAAATTCTTTAAGTAGAAAAGATGCAGAAATATATCTCACTTTTACTCCCCATACATCCAAAATTTGAGTTAAATAATATTAACTACTGGCTAGCTTCCTCCGTATCTACAATTTCCATTAGGTTCTTGGACAGAGAGATAGTGCAAGGCACAGCAAAAACACAACAAAACAAAACACAGGCTTCAGAGCCAGGATTCCAATTCAAAACACTTGAATTGGAATCCTGGCTTTGTTTCTTCCCAGCTGCGTGGCCTTAATCTAGCTATTTCCACTCCAAGCCTTGGAATCCTTACCTTTAAAAAATTGCTTATGACAATATATACTTTGCAATTACTTTAATATTAAAGACATATAGTAGAAGCAGTTAGCACAATAGTAGGAGTGCAATGGGGAAAAAACTTACTATGATGAATTATAAATTACATTGTATTAAAATATAGTATATTAAATAATCATATCAGAAATATATTACAAATTAGATTTTCTTTCTTATACTGTATTTATTTTAGATTAACTTTCCAGAAGTCAGAGATATAAGCAATTCTTAATTCTGACGCTTAAACCATTATGTTACAGAAAAAAAAATGTTTTATTTGAATAAAAGTAGCTGTGCAACTACTTAAATCCCAATTGATTCTTTTCATTCAACATTTATGCATTTAACATTTTTACATGATGCCCAGCTCCGTGTCACTTTGCTATATGGGATGAAAAGCCCTTGCTTTTAACAAAATTCCTCTCTCCCTCACTTCTCCAACTCTGACCCAAACTCCACCAGTGGCTTAGAGCTGAGGCCGTTCCCAGACTCTCCTTACTGGCAGCAATGTGGAGGGAGTAGCGGGAAGGCAAGGAGTGACAGGAGAGATGAAACTCTTAGATGAAGATGAAGAAAGTTGGGTGGGAGATATGAAAGATGTCCTCCACCATATATTTGTCAGCAAATGTTCCCTTGCCCCCTGCTCTGGTCTCACCTATCTTGCTTCAATTCACGGCCTTTACTGTGGTAGTTCCTTTTCTTTCTAGAGTACTTTCCTCCAGATATAAGCACGGCTCACTTCCTTACTTCCGTCAGTTTTCTGATGTTCTCAAATATTCTTTTTACTTTATAAAATTTATTGAGGTGACACTGGTTAATAAAATTAAATAGGTTTCAAGTGTAGAATTCAATAATACATCATATGTATATTGCATTGTGCGTTCACCACCCAAAGTTAAATTTACTTCAGTCACCATATATTTGTCCTCCTTTAACCTTTATCTAGCTTCTGTGGCCAAACTATAGACAGTTATATCCTCATTCCTGTTCCTTTTGTCTCTTCTTCTGTTTTCCTATTCTTCATAACTGTGTTTCTCAAACATCAGTGTGCATACAAATCATGTGGGGATCCTATTCAAATGCAGATTCTGATACATTGGGTCTAGGGTGGGGTCTGAGACTGCAATTCTAAGTGCCCATTTGACATCAATCTGTGAATTATACTCTGTAACACTGACCAATATCAAGATAGTATCTATTTTCTTCTTTTTTAGCTCATTATCTTTCTCTTCCAATCAGACTATATCTTTCATGAAAGGAGGGACTTTAGCTTATTCTCTGCTGCATCCTCAGCACCTACTGTGATACCCAATACATAAAAGTTACTCAATAAATATTTATTAAGTGGATGACATATATGTTGTTGGAAATGAAAACTGGAATTTTGAATGTATTTTCCATTAGAAACATTGTTACATTTAGATATTTAACAGGTGAAATAGATTTCTGTGCTCTGGCTGTGTAACTTCCTACCATGAGTAAAGTGGCTTAAATAGGGGCATAAACCCATAATTATGTTCAGAGTTCAACAAACTTATAAACAAATTATTGGGACCCAATCTCTTTACAGAGTTAGAGTTAGAGGCTGAACATATGAGAGAAAGTTAGAGAACAAATACAAATAAATGATTATATAGGGACAAATGCATATGTGCTGAAGCAACCAAAACTTTAAAGTTATAAAAAGAAATAAACTTGGTATAATTAGTTGAATATAAAGCCTGATATAGCATTTTAGTGTCCCGGATTGACAAAAAAAAAAATAAAAAAAGAATTCTTACAGATCTTTTTCAAGTTTCCAGTGTCATTAAATAAATCTAACTTTGATGAATGCTCAGATACCTCAGGGAGCACATGAGACACACTGTCCCCAAATCGTAGGGCCTCTTTTAACCTAAGAACTATATGTGTCATCTACTGAATTATCATTATGCTACCCTGGCTGTGACCTTTTTGATGTGGTGTATTGCTACTTGATATAAAATAAAAATCAACTTTACTTGAAGAGCCAGTCACCATGCTTCAATATTTCAATCATTTGAACCTTGAAAAGTAGACAAGGCCAAAAGCAAACAAAAAACAAAAAACCAAAACAAACAAACAAATATTTTTAGTTCTGCCTAATTATAGAATTGGTACAGCAAAGAAGTATTCTGGCTCCCTTCACTTGAGTCGGCATTAACATTGTCATGAGATTTTATGCATACCTTCCACTAACAAATGAATAGAAAGTGAAATTAAAAATAGACTACAAATATGCAGTAAAAATAAGAATTAAAACTATAGTTAAATGAAGAAATATTACTCCTCCAAGTTGGCTTATGGTGGTCACAGTCTATTTTTCTTTTTCTTGAACTAAAAATGAAAGAGTTTCTAAAATTGTTTTCAAATGGGACAGGGGGAAGTGCTAAGAGGACTGTGTTTCTGTGGTTTCAGGGATTTGTATGGGTATCTTTGAAAAATATCGTTGAAATGACATAGGATTGAGATGGAACCCTCATGTATTTAAGTGCTAGTGGGTACCTGGTGCTGTGCTCTGATCTTTTCTGGGACAACACACACATCCCAGCTGCTGGGTTTTTTTTAAAGGTGTTCCTTACTAGCAATTGCCTTTGGCCTTCAGAAAACACTTCTAATGTAGTCTCCATTTTCTCTCAGTAGGTAGCCATGGGCAATGACTGACTGGTTCAGGAATACAAAGGCCAGACCCTCTCCCTGCAATTCGGGACAGCTCTACAGGGCCAGCCCAGCTCTAAGGCCCCTGTGGAATTGTCTCTGGCTTCTATTACAGTCAAATCACCCTTCAGCCTCTTCTGCTGTCTGTGCCTTTCTTCACTGTTGTTATTTCTCTAGAAAATACACTCCAATCTACTTTTGTCATCCAACACTCTGAACCATGGTCCATTCCCAAGGAACCTACTCTAAGACATTTTGTAGAGTAAATAGCACAAATGTTTATTACTATTCTCAGAATAGCAACAAATTCTCCCTTTCACCCAGAAATCACCTTGCTGTTGTGCATTTGAGTAAATGGCTATGGCCATAGATAATGGGATCCAGCATACTTACAGGCTCCGAAAGTGGTCAGTCCAGGAGCTGGGCCAGGCTGTTTTGCCCTCAGCTCTTGAAGTAAATGGGTTACCGCCTTCCACTCAGAGCTCAGATCTTCTAACTTCCTCTTTAATAGAAAAGCATACAGGTTATTTATTTAATTAACATCTTGAAGATACCTTAATTCATGAAGTTATTAACTTATTTTGTGAATATATTATTGCATTTCTATTGTATTTTACTTCTGAGTTAATTTTTTCTGGGTAAAATTCCTTTCAAAGGTACCATAATTACTTTAGCAAACCAGCCTGGAAATATGTATTGATTATTTGCTGTGTACAGGCTCTTGCTCCAGGCACAATTTCATTTAAAGGAAGTAGAGTACCAATATTAATAAAAGCAAAACAAACAAAAACCAGTGTATCTCCGCAAGTGGCTTAACTCTTTTAAATAACATCTAGTGTGACTAAATATAAGAATTATCCAGATAACATTAAAAATATCTTAATGTCCTGGCTCATCCCAGATCAATCATATTAGAAACTCTTGGAAGGAGAGACTGTGACACACGTGAGAATGTGTACTCTACTTCAAAAATGGATTCTTGTCCCAAATGGTGTCAGTCTCTTCAGGAACTGACCCCTACCTAGAGCTGCCTTGCCTAAGGGCATGCTCTTCCCTACTCTCATTCAATAACTGATCAAGGTGAGAGTCTAAAGGCTCAAAAAATGCCTGGAAATTTGAAAACTGGCCCTCATGAGTAGATACGAGCTGACTTCAGTACACCACTGGGTAGCCATATAACTACAGCAGTCCCCTCTTATCTGTGGAAGATACTTTCCAAGACCCCCAGTGGATGCCTGAAACCATAGATAGTACCAAACACTGTATATACTATGTTTTTGCCCATATGTATATACCCATGATAAAGTTTATTTATAAATTGGGTACAGTAAGAGATTAATAGTAACTAATAATAAAATAGAACAATTATAATAATACTCTGTAATGAAAGTTATGTGAATGGCTTTGGGGCCATTATTAAGTACAATAAGGGTTACTCGAACACAAGCATTGTGATACCATAACAGTCAATCCAAGAACCAATGGCTACTAAGTGACTAATGGGTGAGGAGCATAAGCAGCATAAATATACTGGACAAAGGGATGATTCATATCCTGGGCAGGACAGAGTGGAATGTCACAAGATTTCATCATGTTAGTCACAATAGCACGCAATTTACAATTTAAGAATTGTTTACTTCGGAATTTTCCATTTAATATTTTTGGATTACAGTTGACCATGGGTAACTGAAACCGTGAAAAGCGAAATCGCAGATAAGGGAGTGGGAATACTGTACTTATTGTCAGTAGAATGTGAACAGAATATTTGTCAGTTCTGGGCTGAGGCTTTTCAAAAATGAGTGAGGTTTCTTTCTTTTTCCACTGGCTGAAAGCAGAGGACTTCAGGTCCTAGAACAAACCTTCTTAATGAATTATGGGGACAGGGTTAATTCTAATGCCTTTGATCTGTGGCTCTCAAACTTTGGGATCGTCAGAATCACCTGGAGGCCTTGTTAAACCACTGATTTCTGGGTCCCAAGAACTGGCATTTCTAATAATTTTTCAGTTAGTGCCAATGCTGACTGTCCAAGACCAAAGCCTAAGCATCTATTATATCTAATAAGTTACCTCAGCATCTACTATGAACTAGATATGCACCATTCTTGACAAAAATAAGAAAATAAGCCCTTAAATCATTTTCGATAGGAGTTAATTATCTTGAGGAACCCCACTTAGAAAAAGTTGCCGAGAGAATAAATTCTAAAAATGAATCACTTCCTAATTTAACTATCATTTTGCTCTTGAGATTATTTATGTCTATTGTGTCTAATATTAACTCAAGTTGGGGCTTTTAATTTTTTCTCCCAGGGTGCATGTTGTTAAACATTTACCATCACATCAATGACTATAACTGTATTTATTAAAAACATAAGCCTTGAATATAAAAGCAAACAAACAAACAAAATGCCTCTGATCAGTGAGTAAAACTACCATTGAAAGTCATGTCATGTGGAAGATATTTTTCCATTCTGACATCAGAGCTAAACACTAAGAATTAAATATTATAAAAAGCTAGTGAATTAATATATATTTCTTCTCTTGATTCTCTTGCAAAGTTTCAGTGACTTCCCAAGGACAGAATATTAAGAGCACCTAGCAGTAACCATGCTGATAACAAAAGGTAGTAATAAATAGAGACAAGACAATAAACATAAAAGCAAATACCTAGAAAAATGTAATGATCTTGGTTATTTATTGAAGGGATAACAGTACAACATATGGTGAAGTCTCATACATCATTGAACTTATAGGAAGTCAACTATATGTATATGTACAGAGAGAGAGAGAGAGAGAGAGAGAGAGAGAGAGAGAGAGAGAGAGAGAGAGAGAGAGACTGATTTGAATAGTGCTGGGATCTCTCTACTAGTCTACTAAATAAGCAGATGGCCTCAGACTGAGGAGAGATGGAGTTTTCTGTTCCTTACAGTTGCCTTCGGTTCTATACTCTTCTTATAGTGTAAGCACCTTACTGCCTTGATTCTAATATTTAAAAGTATGCATCAATCTTACAATTTGGCTTCTAAAAGCAAATTAACTACTTCATCTGGGCCTCAACTGAAGAAAGAGTGATCTGTATTGAACTTCATATTTCATGTGTATCATTGTATAATGAAACAAAACAATAATTGATGCTGATAATGATGCCCTGAAAATTAAGAAAAGTTTAAATTACTCTGTGTTTTTGAATCGGAAGTCTTGGATTTCAATCCTAACTCATTACCACTGGTTGTGGGATTGTTGGCAAATCAGATAGGTCACACAGATCTATCATCCCTGAAATATGGATATGACACTACCATCTAACTCATAGCTTTATTGGAGAAATTAAATGTGATATTTTATGTGAAAAGGACTCTGTGCACTGTAAAGTACTATAAAATTGTTGGTTAGTTATTATGCACTGCTTAATGAAGCAAAACAAGATAGTCAATAAAAGTTTTCACTAAAATAGTTAAAATGAAAATATTTCAGTGCTTAAAAGACTAGGTTTGGTTATCCAGAAAATAACATGTTTATATGTTTAATTTACTTTTGTTATTACCTAAATTCTGAATAGTCTATTCATTTTTTGAATGTTATCTAGCCCACTGTTATCTCCAAATGGGTAAAATAGTTATTATAATTTCAAATGTAGAAAAATGTTACTATAATTTCAAATGTAGAAAACTGTATAATTTAAAATTTGAAAAATAAAGTAGTACCCCAAAGTTACTGTAAACATCTGAGGATACTGCAAAATGTCAAAAATGCAGTAAGCTCAGAATTGCATAAGCTCAGAATTGCATATTCCTCAATCTTTTATAATTATAAGCAAATGACATCACATAAAATTCCTACAGATTTTGATTCAGGTGGTTACAAAAATAGTCTTGCCACTTCAACTATTTGGTATACTTTAGAGTTGAAATTAATTATTTATGTATTATGGAAGTTCTTTTTCATTTGGCTTTCTTTTGCTTTTTGGTCTTCTGGCATGTACTCATATATAGTATTTGCTCATCTTTTCTGTTAGGCTGCAAAGTTCTCTTGGGTAGCAAAAATGTTTGGCTGCAACAACCAATGCAGCATTCTTCACATAATAAACTTTAAGCAGTGCTCAATAAAGATCTGTAAAAGGTAATAATTTGCTGACTATGTCAACACTTTTTAGCTGAATTTAAGTGAACCAAATATATGTCTAAAATCCAACATCTTTAAATATAAAATCAGTGGAATTATCATTATCAAGTCCTATTCTTGATTAGATTTCCAGAATTTAAAAACTTTGAATATAATTTTACTTATATGTGGAACCTAGAAAACAAACAAGCAAACAAAACAGAAACAAACTCATGGATACAGAGAACAAACTGATGGTTTCCAGGTGGGAGGGGGTTGGGGGGTTGGATGAAATAGGTGAAGGGATTAAGAAGTATAAATTGGCAGTTACAAAATAGTCACGGGGATGTAGGGCACAGTATAGGGAATATAGTCAATAATATTGTAATAACTATATATAGTGCCAGGTGGGTACTAGACTAATCGGGGGGACCACTTTGTAAATTATACAAATGTCTAATCACTATATGCTGTGCACCTAAAACTAATATAATATTGTATGTCAACTGTAATTGAACATTTTAAAAAATATTAAAAATAAAGCATCTGTAACATGTTTGAATAAATAGACAAAAACTTTGAAAACGCTAAGTAAATTGCAGATTCCAGGCTTTCCTTACAAGAGTTAAAATGTCAGCAATCATAGCGGATTCATATTTTGCCCAAAAGGAGAAACTTCAAGATCATATTTTTAAAATGGCAAACTTAGTTTTATGATAGGGGACTTTTGTGGCTGAGTATTATTTCCTATTGTATATAATTTGCTTGGAAATGGTAATTAAATGTTAAGACAATTACATCAAACAATGCGAAATTTCTTCTTTATAAAGAACAGAAATTAATTATAAGAAAAAATGATTTCTAAATATAGCTTTCCTTTTTTTAAATTTAAAATGGAACACATTTTTAAACTCCGAGTTTGGGATATTCGAAATTTAAAAATCTTATATTTTCCTCTTGTATCCATGTTTGGCATGCAATTAATATGTTATATGAATAATTGAATCCACCTATGGCTCTATATACACAGACATGTATATGAATACTGTAATTGAAACATCTATGTCTCTATGTCTGTCCCTATAAGGACAATTAATACAGCTGAGGACCAGGGGTGGAAGTTAAATCTATAAAATGCTTGTGGCAGTTCCAGTATGAGCTACTGAGTACGTCTAAATTGAGACTTTACCTCCAAATATTTCCTCAGAAAGGAGTCTGCTCATAGTAGAGCTTTGTAATGTCTTTTGTATCTTAACTATTTTATTTTGAACAATAAAGTTGCACAGTAGCCTGAAATAACCATAAGAGATGTGAATTTTAGGATGCTTATTAAAGTCATCTGACAGAATTGGTTAAGAAAATAAAGGAAGTAAAGAAAGTTGATTAACCATTAGCAATTATTCC